AATTCTGTTCTAATATTTAAGAAAAATATTCTACAAATAAGATATTATTCGTCAATATGTCTTTAACTTAATTGTTTTCATTTTAAACAATAGATATTTCATGTTAAATATTAATTTTTCAAGTGTACGAGAATGTATTATACTCATAATAAATATTTTAAAAATATTAATGTTAGGCACAGATGGATAGTTTTCGATTCATATCTTGCAGTTAGTATTTCTTAATTATTTCAAATGACTTATGATAGTAAAATATCAATATATAAAATTGCAAGTATGTACTTATAAAAAAATTGTTTTTATTGATCTGCCACAAATATTTCTAATGATTAAATTACTTCTATTACTTAATGTTTTATGACATATTTGTATTAAAGCCTTCACGATGGCTGTTGAAAGGACTATCCTATTTTTATATTCTTCAAAATTAAACTCTTAAACATGTGATATTTTTATCTTATGTTTATAATTTGATCAATACAGTGCATTAGGTGTTACTTTATCAAAAACTGGATTAAAAACGTGATGAAAAAAAATAAATAAATGAAAAATAATATTAGTCACACTAAGTTCAACGTTCCCCCGTGTTAAATCCCCAATACCATTTATTGGAATTTTATCGTAACCTTTTTCACACTAGTTATAATAGTTTGGTTATATCTCTAAAACAATTAGGGATTAAATATTTTAGAATGTATTTTTTTTTAATAACCTACTATTAAATTGACACATTTTAAAACATAAATTAAATCAAAAAATCAAATTAATTATAAAATAAACATAGAATATATTAAATTAAAAACTGATTTATAAGGATGCAATTCAAAATCATACCTAATATAACTCAAGATTAAGATAGTTGCTGAGAAGGAAAATGCTCCTGAGATCAAAGGAAATACCGGCTTATTAAACTTATTCCCGCTTTCACAGCTCACTAATTGGCCAATGCTATAATAATAACGGTTCATTTTATAATAAAAATAATATTTTTAGACTTAAGTAGAGTGCATTAGATTAGGCAATTTAAAAAAAAAAAAAAATATACCGTTGAATGTTTGACACCGAAAATTTGAATCCGTTTCTGTATCTTTCAAGAATATTTCTACAGAGAAATATTAAGATTCACATTTGTGATTAAATTCAGATACTAGTAAGCTCTGCCATTAATTTTAAAGAGAACATTGGATCTAATAATAAACTGCCAAATATATAAAAAAAAATATTTTGTTTTATTGCTAGTTAATTTCTCATTTTAAAATTTTAATTAAAAATAAAAATCAGTGAGCACTGAGAAAAACATAAATGTTCTATTAATTTTTGACCGTTAGGTATATATTTTGAACTATGATTTTGCATTATATATATATATATATATATATATATATATATATATATATATATATATAATTTTATGGCTAATTCACATTTATGAAACCATGTGAAATCAAAACGATGAATTTACATATAATCTTGTAATACCTCCAAATAAATATATATATATATATATATATATATATTTTATATTTATTTGGAGGTATTACAAGATTATATGTAAATTCATCGTTTTGATTTCACATGGTTTCATAAATGTGAATTAGCCATAAAATTATTTCATCATATAAATATCAAGTCCGAAATATGGAATAGTTGGTATATATAATAATATAAATTCTAGTTTGTTCAAAACAGCTGATCTCCAAAAGTTCTTTACCAATTTCTTTGAAATTTTGATACAGCATTGAAATCAAATTTAGGAGTTTTTTTTTTATATACATTTCATTATCATCCGGTCTTTCGTTTAGAAATTGAGGCAGAAAAACGTGATTCGCTTTAGACTGTAGCGCAAAAACGCCTGTAACGACTTTAATGAACATTGGCTAATGCCTATCCCTTAAATCTATTAAACTTTTATAATTTATCTGTACTTTATAAAAAACAAGCTATATAAATTGTTACCTTGAATTTAGAATTTTATTTCTCTTTTCCATAATTCAAAAATTACACTATCTTTGATTGATGATGCCCATAATTCAAGCTATTAGTATCTGAAAGCTTAGTAAATTCTCTACTAAATGTAAAAAAATATAAAATGTAATTATCGAAATCGATAAGAATCATGTCGGATTAGATAGTTTGTTGCATTTTTTTAAAAATTTTCTTCATTTTTTATATTTTGTTGAAGAAATCTATTGTAGTAATTTATGTTTGAAATATATCTATAACAGTATTGCGATATTGAAGTGAAACAATTTCTACCGACCGAAGGAGCAAAGTGGTTTGAAATATTCTTTGAAGGAGAAATAAAATTGAGATTGGAAAACTCCTCAAATATGTATTTCTTAGTAATCGATATATAAAAAATGTTTGCCTTAAATTATGAGTGGGGGAAGTCAGTTCAAATACTTTTTTTAAAAAAAACGTTACGATGGATTCACATTTTTGTTAGAATATAACTCAAAAAGTAAACAAATTTTACTGCAGATTTCTTTTGAAAGTACATAGAAGAGTGAATGTACGAGTATATAGGAGTAGAAAAAAAAATGTTGAAGACATGCAATTTCATTTACATTTTCCTCAAATATTAAATAACGATTATGGTTGAATTTAGAATAATTTAAAACTATAATATAAAATTAACTATGAACGAATTTGTTAATTAATAAAAGGAAAAGATGAGAAAAATATTTTCGCCGGTTGCGAATGAATTTCTGGATATAAACGTAGAAATATTTTATTAGTAATTTAATACCGTTGGAAAGCTAAAGATCTTCAAAGAATAAAATCTTACATATGAGGTCATAGAAAATAATAGATAATGATAAAAAAAGCAATGGATTGTAGTTGATAATATCTGTATTGATATTATTGAATGAGAAATAAACGTTTCCATAAAAGCTAGTACAATATCGATAAAATATATATGACATCAATATTTAAAATCTGTTCAGTGTGCATTTTGACGATAGTAAATAAACTTTAGAATACTTTAATTTACGATAGTTAATATATTATTACTAGTAAAGCCCGCATATTTAATATTTTATTTATATGGATTGTTAAAATCCGAATTTCATTTTGCAAAATTATGGAAGCATGTAATTGTATATTTTGTTCATTTTAATTTAGAAAACAAAGAAAAGAAATTGTAACTTGAAAATCAAAATACGACGTTGAAAACGAAATTTCAGTTTACGATTGTATAAATGAATGAAAAAACTATATTATTCTGAGTCTAAATTATAGGTCCATTATAAATGAAAAAGAAAAAAATCAAGATCAAAAAATCGACGAAATAAAACTATCTTGTATAGTTTGAATTATTAAAGTAGGGGTTGTGTTTTTCAATTACCGAGTTTACAGTATTCCCTTTCACACGGTAATTTTGACAAATGGTACAAGAAACATGTGAAATGCATAGGCCGATAGGACATTTTAAGTTCATTCAATTCCAATCCTATAACGTCTGTTAATATTGGAAGATCTGTCAAAATATTTTAAACGAAACAAGATTAAATTTCTGAGAACAAATACAAATATTTACATGATACTTAATTTTGATACACAGGTTAATGCTGATAAAATTTGAATTTTAGGTTTCTGCTTATATTATATTTTTCGTATGAGTTATTCAATACATTCATTGATAATTTTATTTATTGACTTTCTATTTTATTTATTTCCTATTATTTTAATAGAAATTTGATTGCTTTTTCATTATTAGTTTTTTAAAAAATGTGTCTCACATTAGTTTTTCCCATTAACATGGCTAATTTTTATACATTTAAATATTACTTTTTCTGTTTGTTGATATGTATTGAATTGTTTTTATATCCATTATCATTCAGGAGCAGGTTAATTTTGGTGCGATAACAATTTTATTATCAGATCTATCAAAAGTACTTAGTGACTTATTGCAATAAATTGAAAATATTAAACTTTTCACTATGAACATATACATATTTTTTATGAGTTATTTCTCGTTTCTCACGATTTGTTTTAAATGTTTAGATTTTTTCGTATTGTGAAAAACAACATCATTTTTATTAAATTTTTAATTCATCCTTCAATGTATTTCTTAGTATTAGTTAGTTCAGGACTTTTTGTAGACGCATTAGTAAACTTTGGCTGCTAATTGAATATTCTGCAGTTTTCACAAAACGAAAATCCGGGCTCTGATTACTAAAAAATAATTACAATTTATTCCATTTTATTTCTCAACGATATTAATTTTTTATGTTATTTTTAGAGTGATAATTCAACATTCAGCTTATGTTAAGATTTTCTTGATTTATTACTCCTTTATTTTATTTTTTTAGATAATGCAATGTTTGTATACGCTTTCGTTATTTTTTCAGATGCTTCAGAAACCTTACGGAAATCTTTTTAACATGATAAAAGTTTACTAACCAATTTATTAATTTATTTTTATTTTTATGTTTCAGAGTAATTTAGAGTTTAAGTAATGTTGGAGTGACAAATCCACGATGATTTAATGTTTTGAATTATTTTCTTTATTTTTTTTTTTTAAAGAAAAAGCAATGTTTGTAAACACCCAGTTTTTTTTCTTCGGATGCATCAGAAGAAACTCACTAGAGCCTTTTTAACATTATAAAACAATAACAATAATTTATTCACATTTTTTTATCTCGATGTTAATTTTAATGTTTTAGAGTTTAAGTAATTTTATAATGATAAATCCATAATGTGGTAATATGTAGGATTTTTCCCATTTTTTATATATATAGAAAAACAATGTTTGAAGCTATTTAAGCGAAAGTAATTTTGGAACGATAGATCCACTATGAGCTAATGTGGATTTTTTCTGTTTTTTATTAAATAGAAAATTCAATGTTTATGAACACTTCTTCTCATGCTTCAGAAACCTTACAACAACCTTTTTAACATCATAAATTTTTGACACCGCTAATGGTAAATCGGAACAGTGACAAGATGATATGGAAAGGTTATAATACATAAATGTACTCACAAGATCGTCGGCTATGATGATGACAATGTGCGGCCGGGGCGACCCGAAGGCGGCGGCGCCGACCACGAAGAGGCTGAGGAGTAGGAACATGGGCAGCTGCAGACTGAACTACTGTGTCCTTCCACCACTCTCAGCTATCCCCCCTGTCGGCTCCGGACCGGCAACTGTAAGCAATCCCATCGCTAGCAACACTCTTTTATAGCACTATCTTAAACTGTTTAGCATAGGATTAACATATTACTAATGCATGCACCATATCTCACAGGGGGAGAGGGGGAGGGGAGTTTGTTGTTTGGTCCGAAAATCACCCTAAATCGGAGAATAACTCATTTATGAAGAAATGAAAAAAGAAAAAGAAGAAGCCTTTCTACGAGCGTTTGGATAGTTAATGCTACTTACGAGCTCTATTGAATAGTAAACAAGTGAACCTGAGAATAAATTACAGAAAGAGCCTAACGTATTCAAATAATGACATTTTAAGAAAATTCCCATGGAATTGATTTTTTAAAATTTTCTTTATATATGTATATATATCTGGTCCCATTAATTAAAATACCAACCCGATACGTGTAAGTAGGGTTTTACTAGTAAAATAATGGTAAGTGATGGTATCAAAATAAGTGAAAATAAGTGATGGAGCAGACTTTCTATTTTGGTTGTGAGAGCGATGGAACCCACAACAAAGTTGTTCTGTTATGTTCAAAATTATGAGTGATGATTAATTTAATCGACATGATAATTGTAAACCTAACAAATGAATTATATATATATATATATATATATATATATATATATATATATATATATATATATATATATATATATATATATATATTTGTTTTTGTTTTTCGTATGGGTGTATTTGAAAATATGTCAACAAAGTATATTTTATTTAAAAGTATGAGGCAGTGAGATCAACTCATAATTCTGCAATCAATCAAATTCTTCACGGAGAACATATATATATAATCATCATTGAATATAAACTTAAATTTCAGTAATTGGAACATACCCCGTGGAAAAATTCTTGTATACCTACCTCTAGGCCTTGGCTAGAAAGACTAGTCTCTCAGCTTATTCTTTTTCTATTGATTTTAGTTTATATATTTGATTCATTCATGTAGATTAAATGTTATTGATTTTTATTTTATGATGAGCAGCCTCAAATATCAGGTCAAACCATTTGACGCAATGTGACCTACCACTTTCATGCGTTGGAGGAATCATGGGGACAAACGGAATTGCGAACATAAGAATATAATTTATGATAGGTCTAATTCTGGTGCTAAAAAAAAAGGTATAATAATAATAATACCATCCTTCGCATTTTGGTATTTTAATAAAGTTCATATCGTTTTTTTATGTCTAAGATATAAACGCAATATACACAATGAAAATATTCCACCTTTCAATGATAGAAATATATATTAAAGAATTTATGAAACCATTATGTGCCTGCTTTTGTCGTATGGTTTGCGATATTTCAATATTCTTAAAACTGTCTGTTTTGTTAATTATGACCAAAATTTACTTAATTAATTTCCGAAAGATTAGCTTGATTAAAAATGGACTTGAATAACTTTTTTGAGTTGTCCAACGCCGACAGAATATAACATGTATAGTTGAAAGCAGAAGTTTATGATGCGTGAATTACTTTTTATAGGCTGGTTAGTTGTAATGGAGTTTAGGAGTAAAACCTGTATGTTATCAACGCTCATGTTATCATTATATATATATATATTTTTTTTTTTTTACTTATTTATTTATTTATAATTACATCTGCTGGTTATGCATTGAAAAATATAATAATTAATGAAATAACAATTAGAAAATAATAATAAGAAAAAAAGAAATTATAAAATTTCAGATATTTTTTAGAATTCCCTCTTCGGAGAGAAAAAGTATGACTTTAATCAAGACTTCTTTCTTATTTACCAAAGTAGTCAATGTATCGACTTGCAGGTATCCCATTTTCATTCAACTTTCTGGTGCAAAAGGCACAACTCTCAAAGATTTGGGTCACTGTCATTCTCTCCTTATACTTTCGACGAATGGGTTTTCTTTAGTGATCAAGCAAAGATGCATCAGCCTGGTATGTCCCATTCCGAGTAGCGTAAGGGCGACTTCCTCTCCTCGCTTACTGCGACATTGATAGGCATAGGAAGCTAAAATATAACACTGATCTAAAAGAAAATCATAAACTGTATCCTGTTTTTTTTCTTGGTTGAATAGCTATCTCTATACAATTTTATAGTTGTATACATCGCAATTCAGACGCCACCCTTATGTCTGGAACTAACATATATAATTCTATGAATTTGTAACTTGGCCAGTTCAACTGAAAGGAGTTCCAACACTTTACATATTGCGAAGACATGGGCAAAGAATTGTGCAAAGTGTGTTCCAAATTTAATATTTTTACGAAACGACAAATAAAGATTTTTTTTGTTATAAAAAAAATTTAATAAATTTATTGAATAAAAATAAAATCCGCCACATTGAAAGGTAACAAGTATTTGTGCTTTAATTGTCCATTCATGGATACATAAAAGAAAAATTATATAAATAATTAGAACAATAATATTAAAAATAATAACAATAACTAATAATTATTGTATAAAAAATAATATATTTGAAGTACAGTAAAATTGAAATAAGTTCTCCAAAAACATTATCATACTTTTAAATTTATAAAAACAAAAATGTACATTAAAAAAGCTTTTACCTGACCGCATTGATAAAAATTAAATTAAATTATAAACTGAAGACAAAGTAGTGCATGAAATAATTATAAAAAATTCTTATCGTGATGGAAATAAAGTGAATGTATAACGACCCATAAAGAAATAAGATAAAATGAATACAGGTTGATAAGACTTATGTAGTCATCGAAATATTCTGGTTTGTAATTCGAGATATGCAATGAGTTGAGGTTGTTAAATAGTATACTTTAAATTATTTTTTCTTAGTGTAAATGCGGTATTATTGACAGATTTATGATACATTTATTGACGAGCACGTAATGTATCTAATTCAGTTAATAAGCTCATGTGATCAGTTACTAAAATTCTCCAAATCGAATCACAAACATGGGTTGACGACTACGATTCTAATACAATTGCTTGTACTTATTGAGTATTTTTTAATACTCAGCTGACTCAAATGAAACTAACCAATCATTTAGCACATCTGACAATAAATAAATATAGTTCCATATTTTGATGACTACAATGAAATATAAAATCAAAAATATCATAAATTAAATTAATAAAATATGATATTACAATTACAAACGTATATGATAATCAGTAGACAATCAATGAACAAATCAACAAAATAGTGCTATTTTCAATAATTGACATCAGTCAAAGAATACACAATTGCGTTCAAAGAAATAGTATCACCCAGTAAAAATTGTATTAAATTTTATTTTATTTACCAGATTGCTATCTGCAAAATCTCCGGATATTTCTTTGCCAGTTTTGAAACGACATTCTTTTTTAGTCAAATTGTTGATTTTTTTGTTTTTCCAGTTCCTTTCTTTCACTCCATGGTTCATTTTTACTTTAACTTACCTATATATGCAAAATATATTAATGGTAAGTATTGCGATCGTTAAAATTTTTGAGTCTGAGTTCTCAACGGAAATACATTTTTTGAGATCTCCTGAGTCCAAATAATCAAGTCCTACAAAATGGTCTCTGTGTATATGTATGTGATCAGTCTAGCTAAAAAAACGGAAAATGGTATGAAAGTGAAATTGCATATTTAAGGTTTATATATACCTTGGATATCACAGACATTTTTTCGTCAAAATTGACTTTTCGAAAGTAGCATTTCATATAGTCGATTAAACACATTTTTAAGATTTTCTCAAAAACGGCTCTAACGATTTTCTTTAAATTCATTGTTTCAGCGTATTATTAAGAAATTTTTAGTATAATGTTGGTTTTATTCTCTTTAACAGAGCTTAAATGGCTAATTTTCAATATTAGCTTCCTTTAAACTACATATATATATATATATATATATATATATATATATATATATATATATATATATATATATATATATATATATATATATATATATATTTTTTTTTTTTTAAATAATTAACCATTTCACATTAATATTTTATATAAAACATAGGTGAATATAAAAAATAAAAACATTCGTTGGTTAACTAAGGAGAAATGACAGATCATAACGTATAAAAGTTGAAATAGAGGAACCAAAGGGATACGTGCGTGCTCGAGCTCACCCTAGATCTCCCCAAAGATTACAATAGGCATCCATAGGTAACATGAGCTTAATATCATACTGACTCCTACAATATTATGTACATATACATATGGCGTTTTCATAAATGCTATCGTTGGTATTATTTAATATTTAATTGTATAGATTACACCGATATAAATATTTGTCTATATAAGGATAATTAAACAAACACAAATACCCTCAGTGAAATTCAAAATCAATATAGTATCTATCATTTTTATTTTCACTTCTCCTTTGTCTGTAAATACTTATTTCTGCTAAGAAGTAGGTGATAAGTAAAAGTCGTGTGATGCGCGCACCAGATTTTTGTTTGTTCAAAACTATGACTAGAGTAGATTGTTGGTGGTATCCTTTCCTCGTTACTATTTACCATAAAAATTACTTCACTTCATGTAACGTCAGAATTTTAATATTTTCTGACGAGGACAGTTTTTGGAAACTGGTCATAATTATAGCTTTTAACCTGGCTTTAGTCAAAACTGGACTGAGAAACATTGTTAAAGTTTTCTTTTAACCTAAGTATAAAAAAACTAAAAATAAGTAAAGAAAACTAAAAAAAACAACAGAATCAACGCTATCAACTTAAGAATCAAAAGAAATAGGTGATACAATTTCTCAGATCGCGTCTCTATTTTTTATTTCACGGCTTTTTGACTTTGAAACATCATACTCACTCTCAAAGTTTGTTAATCACGTCCTTTAAAAACAGTAACGGAACATTTTATTTTTATTGAAAATACCAAAATTAAGTGATCAAATACAACCATTGTTATTTCGTTTATAATTGAATGTTCTTAGTACTTCGATAATCTAGTTTATAAAAAAATAAATGCTACAAAATTTGATATAACTTATGACAATAATTTATGTAAATCACCCTCTCTAATTTTAGTTTATATAGATGCGCTAGTTTATTTGGATATTTTAAAAATGTTCATTAAAATATTACTTTACCTTTGCTATTACATATTAGAAGATTTTTCATATTTTGTGGTACTTTTACTGCTTATTTTAGAACATGTTCTGCAGGTC